GCATATTTTGGGTGCCACACACAGCCCTGGGGAAGGACAGGCAGCGACCCTCTAATCTCACAAGTCTGAGACATCACCCATTTGTTTGTCTCCATAGGGCTGGGACACAGCTGCCACACAGTGACATGCTTCTCATGCTGGACACAGAGCAGAACAGGTGTGTCAGCTGCAACGGGTGGGGCCCAGGACAACCCACAGACACATTCAAATTGTCCAATGACTTTGGAGTCCCCAAACTTGACCTCTCCATTGTGAAGCTGTAAATCAGTTAGGACAACTTGATTCCCGTCAGTCCAGGCAAGGCCATGGATCGGGTGCAATGCTTGATGTAACGCATTCAGCCCCGTCCTGAGTAGTCTTCCTTTTCCCAACTCCATCCTTCTGATAAAGGTTACCTGAAATGATTAAGAAGGAAAGTTACATCATGAGAAATCTAGACAAATCTCGAATGTAGGACATTTTATTTTTATTTTTATTATTATTATTATTTTTTGAGGTGGAGTTTCACTCTTGTTACCCGGGCTGGAGTGCAATGGCGTGATATCGGCTCACCGCAACCTCCACCTCCTGGGTTCAGGCAATTCTCCTGCCTCAGCCTCCTGAGTAGCTGGGATTACAGGCACGCGCCACCACGCCCAGCTAATTTTTTGTATTTTTAGTAGAGATGGGGTTTCACCATGTTGACCAGGATGGTCTCGATCTCTTGACCTCGTGACCCACCCGCCTTGGCCTCCCAAAGTGCTGGGATTATAGGCTTGAGCCACCACGCCTGGCCGAATGTAGGACATTTTATAAGACAACTGGCTTAGACCCTTCCCAGGTTAATAATGTGGAGAAACAAAATGACAGGGGGAGTATTGTAAATTAAGAGACTACTGAGCTATAACAGGCAAATGCATTGTATAGACTTTGGATCTTGAATTAAAGAAATAAAATCTACCAAATGAAGATTTTTAGAACAGGGGAAATCTGAGTATGGAATGGATATCAGAAAATATCGTGGAGTTATTAATTTTTTTAAGTGTGAACACGGTATTGTGATTATGCAGGACGATTAAATTTACCCCAAATTTACTACTTGGGGTAAAATGTTATGATGCCTACAACATGCTTTCAAATGGTTTGACAAAAAGAAAAACCCAAATTTTCTATCGACACACAGAGAAAGAAAACAAATGTAGCAAAATGTTAATAATTGTTGAATCTAGATTGTGGCTATGTGAGTATTTATGGTACTTTCATCTTTTAAGTTAGAAAATTTTCCAATTAAAAATTTGAGAAAAGTCTCCTCCATCATCTAATTTCTATTCATCCTTTTACTGCCAAATCAATGAATAACTGAAATGCACATCTCTGACTTTATTAGCACTTATTTCAAATCCTTCCCGAGTGGCTTTTATCTCTCTACTGAAATGACACTCAAAAATCACTGTTTCTACTTCAACTTCATCATATTCAACAGCACTTAATAATTTTCAGAACATTTTCACATTCCCTATTGCATTTTATCTTACAACAATCTTTTACAGTAACTAAAGTAGGTTAGGCAAGTATTATCTTCATTTTTTCACCCTCAATGTTTTTTCCCCAGGCATTTGAATCACTAAAGAAGCACATGCTTAGGCCACGTATGGTGGCTCACGCCTGTAATGCAAGCACTTTGGGAGGCCAAGGTGGGCGGGCCACTTGAGGCCAGGAGTTCAAGACCAGCCTGGCCAACATGACGAAACCCCATCTCTACTAACAATACAAAAATTAGCCATGGTGGCGCACACCTGTAATCCCAGCTACTGGGAAGGCTGAGACAGGATCCTTGAACCTGGAAGGTGGAGGCTGCAGTGAGCTGAGATGACACCACTGCACCCCAGCCTGAGCAACATAGCAAAACACTGTCTCAAAAAACAAACAAAAGTATATGCTCATTGCAATAAAACTCAAACAAACCTTAAGTGTCTAAAGCAAAACTGTTGGCTGAGTGCAGTGGCTCATGCCTGTAATCCCAGCACTTTGGGAGGTTGAAGCGGGTGGATCACAGGTCAAGAGATTGAGACCTTCTTGGCCAACATGGTGAGACCCCATCTCTACTAAAAATACAAAAATTAGCTGAGTATGGTGGCATGTGCCTGTAGTCCCAGCTACTGGGGAGGCTGAGGCAGGACAATCTCTTGAACCCGGGAGGTGGAGGTTGTGGTGAGCCGAGATCGTGCCACTGCACTCCAGCCTGGTGACAGAGCAATACTCTGTCTCAAAAAAAAAAAGGAACAAAATGTTACAATAATAAACACAGACTGAGAAAGACTAACTTTAGTATAAAAACAATTGCTGGGCCAGATGCAGTAGCTCATGCCTTTAATCTCATCACTTTGGGAGGCTGCGGCACGTGGATCACCTGAGGCCAGGAGTTCGAGACCAGCTTGGCCAAGAAGCCAAACCTCGTTTCTACTAACACCACAAAAATTAGCCAGGAGTGATGGCACACTCCTGTAATCCCAGCTACTTAAGAGGTTGAGACACAAGAATTGCTTGAACTCAGGAGGTGGATGCTGCAGTGAGCCGAGATGGCACCACTGCACTCCAGCCTGGACAACAAAGTGAGACTGTCTCAAAAACAAAACTAAACAAAACGACTATTGGCTAGACAGTGACTCATGCCTGTAACCTCAACACTTTAGGGGGCCAAGGCAGAAGGATTACTTGAGCCCAGGAGTTCGAGACCAGAGAACAGCCCGGGCAACATAGCAAGACATTGTCTCTGCTTAAAAACAAAACAAAACAAAAATCTACAGACATATATAAAGTGATGTTTAACCTTATTAGTTATCAAAGAATTGTGTAAACTAGCAGGACTCATTTTTCACCACTCATTCTCTTAATATACTTCAAATGAACTCCATTCCAATCTTTTCTCCAAAACATCTTTATCAGGCCACCAGTGCCATACCTGTTACTGTATCTAAATGACATTTTTCAGCCTTGTTTTACTCAGTGTCAAAGAGAGAACTCGAGAAGTTGTCTTCAGACTCTAAATCCAAAGAAATGTATTCTCTACTAACCTGGTGGTTTGTTTATCTGTAAATTATTTCTCATGTCTCCTTGCCAGCTTTGTCCTTGCTCTTAGGATTTTTTACTTAAAGAAAATAAAAGGTCTATTATGCTTTTCTATATATGATGTCAGATTAAGTGGTTCTGCAGTGGCTTGCTAAATGGAGAAGAAAGTCCCCTGTCATTACTAATGAAGAAAACCGTGATCTCTATCCCACTGGTCTTATGAAAGATAATAGATGTTTTCCCCCTAATATCTACTTATGTACTTTAAAAAGACTTTTATTGATAAATAATGCATGATACACTTTCATGGGCAGAGAAAATTCCTAATGGGCCAATTACATCTAAGTCGATTTATATATTTTAGGATACCAAATTCAGTCTAATGTCAATGAGGGTGTGTGTGACCAGAGTAGCACAAGATAAGGATTTGAGAATAAGAGAAAAACAAACATGAGAATAAGTTTACTGAGGTTATTTTTTGGGAGGGGGACAGTCGTGCTCTATTACCCAGATTGGAGTACAGTGGTGTGATCTAGACTGCAATCTCCACTTCCTGGGTTCAAGGGATTCTCGTGCCTCAGCCAAGTAGCTGGAATAGGCACCCAGCTAACTTAACGTATTTTTAGTAAAGATGAGGTTTCACCATGTTGGCCAGGCTGGTCTTGAAAGCCTGACCTCAAGTGATCCTCCTGCCTTGGCCATGCTGGGCCACCATGCTGGGCCAGTTTACTGAGGTTTTTAGAAGAATGAATTTTAATACTGTCATCTTCAGTAACAGAAAGAAATGTGGCACATTTTTCTCAAAAACCCAATTATTACAAAAATCTGCTCCATTCCTTTATACTCCTGTTAGCCCAGGTTCTGACTTCTCCCTTTTTATTAGGGTAGTACAAGAAGTCCCCTGGATACCAGTCTCTACTTTCCAAATGAGTCTGCATACTACGTGTTGTTGTGTAGAATTATCTTTTTAAAAAAAGCATAGCTCTGATCATTTTGCTTTACTGCATAAATACCTTTGATGAATCCCCACATCTACAGTACATATAAAAAAGCCTCAAAATGTCTTAACAAGGTATTTAAGGCCTTACATTATCAGATACTGATATATCTTTCTAACTTTTCTCTAATCATAAAGGGCATGGTGAAGAATTTGGAATCTGGGGGGAACCAGCATATATTCGAATGACAATATGCACAACGCACCTGAGAAAGAAGAAAGCTGAGTAATTTGAATGCCACAAAGTGAAAGTGAAGCAAGTCTGTAGCTATTTCAGTAGAGAAAAATGGCCAGAGTCAAGTAGACGTTTCTAAAGCAGATGGAATAGACAATGATATCAGATAGGATATAAGTAGTGAGGAAGAAAAAATTAAGGAAAACACCCAGATTTTTAGCTTAAGAAATTGCTGAACCATTAACCAAAGCATGTTTCAAAGGCAAGAAAGGCAGAGCAGGCTGGGTGTGGTGGCTCATGCCCATAATCCCAGACCTTTGAGAGGCTGAGGCAGGCAGACACCTGAGGTTACCAGTTCGAGACTAGGCTGGCCAACATGGTGAAACCTGTCTCTACTAAAAATACAAAATTAGCTGGGCATGGTGGCGTGCACCTGTTCCAGCTACTCAGGAGGCTGCAGCAGGAGAATCGCTTGAACCCAGGAGGTGGAGGTTGCAATAAACCGAGACTGCACCACTGTATTCCAGCCTGGGTGACAGAGCAAGATTCTTTCTCAAAAAAAAAAAAAAGAAAAGAAAAGTAAAAGAAAGAGAGAGAGACGGAAAGAAGGGAGGGAGGGAGGGAAGAAAGGCAAACAAAGCACAGTGGCTAACACCTGTAATCCCAGCACTTTGGGAGGCCAAGCTGGGAGGACTGCTTGAGGTCAGGAATTCAAGACCAGCCTTAGCAACACAGGGAGACCCCCAACACTACAGAAAAAATTTTTTAAAAATGTGCTGGGGGCTCGCTTTGGCAGCCCATATACTAAAACTGGAATGATACAGAGAGTAGCATGGCCCCTGCACAAGGAAGAGGTGCAAATTTGGGAAGTGTTCCATAAAAAAGGAAAAGAATAAAATAAAAATCAGCTGGGTGCAGCATCACACACCTGTAGTCCTAGTTAATCAGGAGGCTAAGAGGATCACTTGAGCTTAGGAGTTCCAGGTTACAGTAAGCTATGATCATACCACTGCACTCCAGCCTGGGTGACGGAGTGAGACCCTGTGTGAGGTGGGTGCAGTAGAGGAGGAGGAAGGTGTGTAGTATGTGATGTATTTGGTATTAACATGTGCTTCATGTAAAATGTCTACATGGTACCAATGTACTTTAGGCAGGCAGAGGTAAAGATTTGGAAATCACTGACACAGGGTTAATAATTAAAGTAAATACAGTAGAGAACCTCACTGTAAAAGATGAGAGAGCCAGGAGGACCAAGGTTTAAATGATCTTCAGGCATTCCTCAACACTACTGATTTTGCCTGAAACTAACTGTATACCTATTGTTTCACAATCTCCAAAGTATAAGTTTTCTGGAGAACATAAAATCAAGAACCCTGCGTGTTTTAGGAGGGAAAAGACCACTGTATTAGTTCAGGAGAGGGGTGGTAGAAAACCAAGAGCTGGTGCTCAGTATATGACCATTTAATTCTGTTTTTCATCTTCTTTAAAGAAACTCATGATGAGAATCAAGGGATTCAGGTGAACTGGAGCATTTCCAGTAGGTTTAAACAAAAGTACATCCCTTTCCCAACTTGTTTTCCAAGTTTATTGTGTTTCCACTATAAAATGATTTCAAATTCTTTACCCTTATGTGAAAAAAAAGTCACACATAAGAAAGGTAAAAATTAAGAAAAGTTAACGAAAAAACATTCATCCAAGGAAAATTACGACGACATCCCTCTAGACGCTTCTACGCATAGTTTGGCTGTCAAATATTTTTCAGTCATGGTGTGCAACTTTGTATCACGATTTTCACCTAGCATTATATAATTAGCATTTCCCCATGTTATTTAAACGTTTTATAAATTAGTTTTAGAGCCCACTTCAACACTCAGTGAAGTGACAAGGTACTGAACAGCTCCTGGCTGTATCCAACTTTACCCCGCTATAAATAACGCTGTGACCGAGGTCTTAATGCTTAAAGCCCATTTCCTGACTTTGGATGACTTCCTTGGAACACATTCCCAGGAGTATTATTCACGAGTCACAGTCATATTCGCTCGTTTACACCCACACCCAGCGCGGTCCTCATTCCGCGACCCCTCACACGCGGCCCGCCCCATTCTCCTCATGCTCTGCGCACTCCTGAATGTCCTCCCTCCCTCCAGACCCCCATCCCCCATCCCACCTACCCCCCCACCCCCGCTCCGGTCCACTTCCCTCCTGACCCCCTACAGCCTCCCCACATCCGCCAGGCCCGGCAGCAGTGGAGACAAAATACCTTAGGTCTCACTGCCTCACAAAAACACCAGCTTCCCTGAGGCAGCCCAATATCACGCCGCCGCAGATCAGAAGCTTTGGGCAGTCACCGGAAGCACCGGCTCTCAGACCTCTGATAGGTGAGCGGTGGCCGTGCACGCTCCGCGATGGCCCCGTCTATTGGCTTTTGAATGTGCACGTTAGGAGAGGGTTTGTCCCACTGGCCAATAAGCTCTGGCTCTGCCTCACGGATCGCTGGGAGTAGTAGTTCCCATGAAACCACCGACCGCAAGCCCGCCACATTTTTTCTTCCCCAAAGCACTTGAGCTCCTCCCCCGCTTCTCTTTGGTTCTCTTGTCTAAGGCATTCAGGAGCCCTAGGATCAACACGGGTTCTTAACCTTCTTTAGATTCTGATAAAATCTCTCCAGGAAAATGTTCTTATCTGTACCCAAAATATTGTGCATTCAACTGAAGCTGCTTCATGGGACTGTCCCGGCTACAAATCCTTGTTCTACACCGACCCTAAGCGTGCCTGCTCTGGTGCATCCCTTAGGCTTAGTGCGTTCCTGAGGCTTCTGTAGACCAGCTACACTCTTGGAAGACTCTGGGCCATATCTCGGAGCAGCCCATGAGAAATTCCAGGTCATGACCTTCACAGTACAGTTAACCATCGTCTTTCTTGAACAACACAGCCCGTCCTCCTTCAGGGATGCAGACAACCTCATCTGGGACCTAAGCATACAGGAGAGTGGGAGTCGGGAAATGGAGGAAGAACACCCTTGGGGCTCATACTGGGCCCGTCTGCCAGGTTTTTTTTCCCCATGCCTATCTTCCAGTGCCACTTAGCAGAATCATACCTTCACATCAGTTTTTGTTTATGTTTTTCTTTTCTTTTTTTAAAAAATAAAAACGGTATGCCTATAATCCCAGCGCTTTGGGAGGCTGAGGCGGGTGGATAACCTGAGTTTAGGAGTTCAAGACCAGCCTGGCCAACATGGTGAAACCCTGCCTCTACTAAAAATATGACAGCCAGATGTGGTGGCTCATGCCTGTAATCCCAGCTACTTGGGAGGCTGAGACACGAGACGAGAGGCAGAGGTTGCAGTGAGCTGAGACTGTGCCACTGCACTCTAGCCTGGTGACAGAGTGAGATTCTGTCTCCAAAAAAAAAAAAAAATAGAGACGGGATCTCTCTTTGTTGCTCACACTGGTCTCGAACTCCTGGGCTCAAGCAATCCTCCTGTCTTGATCTCCCAGTGTTGAGATTACAGGTGTGAGCCATTGTTTCAAAAATTGATTTGCCCGGCCTCACATCAATTTTTGGAACAATGCAGATAATAATGAGGGGGGGAAAGTTTTAAAAGTCCTAATTACCCTTCAAACAAATGTTACCTCCTCCAGAAAATATTTTTCTACATTCTTGAATGTGTATTTAGGTAAAGGAGGAACTCAAAGTAGAATTCATTTACATATTCATTCATTCACTCCACAGTCCTAATCACTCCACGCGGTAAATGTGTATGCCCGCCCCTCTCGGACTTAGTACCTGGAAGACAGCCATCCTGTCTTAATTCAATTGGTATCCCCAGGGTGCATTTCTTTGCCTTGAAAATTGAGTACCCAATAAATGTGCGTGGAGCAGAACTACGCGAGATGGAGAACAGGGGTTTAGGGGTGTAGGGGAAGAGTCAGCAAGGACTGATGTCCTCCCTCCCTCCCCCAGCTCTGCTCCTGCAGATCCAGGACGCCTAGCCAGAGTAGGAACCTCTCTGGTGCTTCCGCAACGCTCTGAACTGCAGGGTACTGAGCGCATCTACTTAGAGTGATGGTTTCATTAGATAGTAACACAGCGAGACCCTGATTCTACAAAAAATAAAAAATTAGCTGGGCGTGGTTGCTCGCCCCTCTAGTCCCAGCTACTAGGGAGGTTGACGCAGAAGGATCGCTTGAGAGTTAGAGTTCGAGGTTGCTGTGAGCTAATGATCACGCCACTGCACTCCAGTCTGGGCGACAGAATAAGATCCTCTCTCTAAATAAAAATAAAAATAAAGTGATGGTTTAATTGTCGGCCTTTGCCTCTCCTCTCCCTCACCCCCCACAAGTCTGTAGGACCGGGTTAACTCCCCAGAGCTTAGCACAGATTCGATGCTAAATAAATGTGTTTTGGACGGATGGGCTAATGAACGGATAGATGGAGGATGAGGGGGTGCTCACCACGCTTCCCGGTCAGTGGATTATTGTCGTCAGCGGGGCTAGGCTCGCAAACAACCGGGCGGGTCCCTTCCCCCGGGCCCCGCCCCGGCCGACCCCACCTTTCCGCGCGGCTCCGCCCCGCCGCCCCCTTCCCAGTGGCCCCTCCCCGCGCAGGTCCCGACTCCAGCCGCACCTCCTCCGGCTCTGCAGTGGCGGCGGGGAGGCGAGCGGGAGCGACTGCGGGGCCGGGGCCGGAGCCGAGCCGGGGTCGGGCAGCAGCAGGGACCCCCCGGAGGCGGGGCCTGTGGGACCGCTATGGGCGTGGAGATCGAGACCATCTCCCCTGGAGACGGTACCGGGCTCCCTCCGGAGCCAGGGGAGGGGAGTGGTCCCGGGGCGGAGCCCGGCGGGCGGGGGTCTGATTCGGAGGTGGCGCGGAGGGTGCCGAAGGGTTGGGGGGACTGGGTGGGGAAGGCTGGCGGAGACCCCGGACGGGATTCTTGGGGGTCTAAGAGACCGTCCTCCACCATCCTCTTCCGCGCTCACCTTTGGGAATGTAGGCGGCAGCCCGGAGGTGAGGTCTGCGGCCCGGAGGTGGGGGTCTGCGTCCCGGAGGCGGGGGTCTATAGCCCGGAGGCGGGGGTCTGCGGCCCACCACCGCCCGGGGCTGATGCTGTCGCGGCTGCAACCGCTCGGTTTTCCGCTGCTGCAGATACCCAAGGCTGGGTTTCTGCTTCTCTTTCCTTGCCCTGCTCAGCGAGCTCTGGAAACCAGGGAAGACCTGCTCTCCGGTCTCCGCTGCTCGGGACTTCCTCCTAGCGCGTCCCCCGCCTGGCCTCCCGTCGGGCCCCCGAGGGCCCGCTGTGAGCGGCTGTGGGGACAGACCCAAGCTGGAAGGGGGAAGCGCTCACTTGCTCGCTTCCGCACCTCGCTTTATCCTCCCGCCGCATTCAGACTCCCTGGCCACCCTGTCCACTCCCATGGCCTCCACATTGAAGCTTCTAAGCCCAGCCCTCCGACCTGCCAGACCTCTCCCTGGACGTCCCAGGGTGTGCCCTCGTCAGCAAGTTCAAAACAGAACTCACGCTTCCAACCTTCTCCTCTGAGTGATCCTTCTTACTCCTGTTCTGTGTCTCATTTTCCCAAGCCCTTGTATTATTGGGCCTGGGTATGCAAGGAATAGTCATTTCTTTATTTCTTGAAATTTAATTCATACCAAAGCCCACATTGTCTGCAGGGTTTGATGGGCAAACTTCTTATCAGATATTAATATGAACAGCTCCCCTCCTGAGGAAATTGGGGGACTTCTTGGCTCCAGGCCATCTTCCTTGTCCAATCCCAACCACTACCTCGGATCTCCCCTGGGGTACAGGCTTCTTTGCCCATGCAGGAAACCTTGGTGCTGGGTCTCAGAAAGCATCTCCCTGAGGCCTTGTCATCTCCAGCAGCCC